TTTAAAAACCCCCGGGGGGAAAAATTTAAAGGGGGAAAAAAAAAAACCCCCCCCGGGGGGGTTTTAAAAAAAAAAAAGGGGGCCCCCCCCAAAAACCCCCTTTTTTCCCCCCCCGGGGAAAAAAAAAATTGGGGGCTGTTGGTTTTGTTAACCCCCATAAATTTTAGAAAGTGAATTTTTAAAAAAAAAAAATGAAGGGGGAGCGCAGTCTTTTTATCTACGTGGACAGGACTTCCTCAAAGTGGTCCGTATTGCGAGGAAGGCCCAACAAACTTGAGGATCAAAAATCCCGTCTAAAACACCATAAACCCACCCCTTTCAACTTTTTTTCCCCCAGGCCCCAAGGAAGGGGAGAACGCAGTGACTATACTCCGGACTTTCGCCCGGGAACCCACTATTCCTCATCCCCCCCGCAACAAACAAAGATCTGTCTCCCAGACCAGTTCCCAGATTGAGATGAAACTTGGAAAAAAGGCTAGCAGGGGGGACCACTTTCTAACCGCCACTGGTTCTAATGGAAATTTTAATGAGATGGAAACATGGTGGAGGTGGGGAGAGACTAGGGGAAAACATGTAGCTCACTGCGGTCGGGTAACCTAGAAAACAGTTAACACACTCTGCACTGGAAAACCTAGCAACGGGTTTAACACCCGCGAGTCGGAAATTTAGCAACAGGTTACACACTCTGCGATCTGGAACCTACAACGGGTTTTAACACACTCTGCGAGTCCGGTAACCTACAACAGGTTAACACACTCTGCGAGTCTGGTAACCTAGCAACAGGTTAACACACTCTGCGAGTCTGGTAACCTAGCAACAGGTTAACACACTCTGGATCTGGTAATAGAAAACGGGTTTAACACACTTTTGGGATCGGTAACGCAACGGGTTTAAACCAATTTTCTGGAGTCTGGAACCTAGAAAACGGTTAACAACACTCTCATCGGGAAACCTAGCACGGTTAACCCCAAAATCTGCGGGGGTCTGGTAACCTAGAAACGGGGTTTAACACACCTGCAGTCTGTTTAAAACCCTAAAGAAAAATTTTTAAAACAATTAAGAAAATTAGGGTGTTATTAAAAATCGGAAATTTGTGTTTTTCAATTACTGTGAAAAATTTTTAAAATTATAAATTTTGGGGTTTTTTCAAGCTTGGGTTTTTAGTTTGGAATCCGGACTTGAATTTTCCATTAGCTGCTACCCCCCCATTTCCTTTCGTATGTTAAATTTTCTCTCCCAAATCTTTTTTTTTGCGGACGGACAAAAATGCTCTGTTTTAAAAAACAAATAAAATTAAAAAAAAAAAAACAAAGCAATATTTTCTGATGGTTAATGTAAATATTTCAATTTGTTCTTTGTATATTAAATTTCATCAAACCATTATTTTCTTTGAAATCATTGTAAAAAGAATAAGCTCTAACCAAACTAAATACCAACAACAACGAGAAAACAACAATAATACCTTTAATTAAAGATCACTTACAGTCCAAATAACAGTTGCTTGGGCAGTTTACAGTTTAGAACCGGAAAGGACCATTGGGACCATGTACCATGGGGGCCCCCCTTTTTTTCACACACACAATAAATATTTACTCCCCATTATGGGGCCCCGGTAACCTAGCAACAATAGTTATTGTTTCTAAAGGAGCCCAATCTTAATAACACAGTCTAAATCCCCTTTTTGTTCAAAACCTGTTTGGAATCAGTCCCTTTCCTTTCCCCCCCCCCTTTTTCTCTTCTTTCCCGCCCCTACGACCCGTCCTCACTTTTACACCAGAAAAAACCCCACCCCCCCCCCCAAGACCCCCCACCCCCCCCCACGGCCCCCCCAAAAACCCCCAAACCCCCCGGGGTTTCCAGCACAGGCCCTTGCCCCCCCAAAAACCCCCCTATGGGGTGGGGCCCCCAAAAGGGGAAAAGGGAAAAACGAAAAAACCCCCTTGAAAAAACCCCTAAAACCCCCCCAAAAGGGGCCCCCAAATTTTTGGGGTCCCCGGTTTTTCCCCGGGGCCCCTCCGGGCCGCCCCCCCCAAAAAAAATTGCCACCTCCCCCCCTTTTTTTCCCCCCCCAAAAAGGCCGGGGGCCCCAAAAATTTTAAAAAAAGGGGAAAGGGGGTTTTTTTTTTCCCCCCCCCCCCCCCCTAAAACCACCTCCCCCCCCCCCAAAAAAAACCCCCCCCCCCCCCCTTTTCCCGCCCCCACAAAACCCCCCCCAAAATAACCCCCCTTCCTAAACCCCCCCCCCCCAAATAACCCCCTTTTTCCCCCCCCCTCCCCCAACCCCCCCAACCCCTTTGGGAACCACCCCCCTTGCCCCCCCCCCCCACCACCCCACCCCCCCAAAAAACCCCCCCCCCAAATTTTAACCGGGCCCCCAAGTTTTTCGACCCCCCTTCTAACCCCTTTTTAACCCCCCGGGGCCCCCCCCCCTTTTGGGAATACGTCCCCCCTCCCCCCCCCCCAACCCCCCTCATAACCCAACCACGCCCCCACCCCCAGCCCCCACGCCGGGCCCTCCACCCCCCCAGCCCCCCCAAACCCCGACCCCCCCCCAAAACCCCCCCCCCCCCCCCCCCCCTCCCACCCCCCTAACCCCCCCTCCGCCAGCCCTTAAACCACCCCCTCCTAAAACCCCGCCCCCCCCCCCCCCCCCCCACCACCCCCAAAACCCCCAAAACCAGCCCCCTCACGACCAGCCCCCATTACCACCCCCAGGCCCAGCCCCCCCGACCACCCCTCCTGACCGCCCCCCAACCCCCAAACCACCCCTCCTACCAGCCCCTCACGCCCCAGCCCCCCCCCCCCTCCCCCCAACCAGCCCCCCTCACTGACCACCCCTCACTCCCAACCCCCCACTACCCGCCCCTACGGGCCCCCCCCCAAACAACAGCCCCCCACACCAGCCCCACGACCAGCCCCAATACCACCCCTCCTGAACATCCCCCCCAGCCCCCCCCCCCATCCCCCCAAAACCCCCCCAAACCACCCCACCCCACCCCCAGGACCGGGCCCCCTACCAGCCCCTCCCCCCCCAACCCCCCCAAAACCCCCCCTACGGGAACCCCCCCCACCACCCACCCCCCCCCCCCCCCGGGCCAGCCCTTTACCAGCCCCCCCTCCCCCCTCCCCCCCAACCCCCCCCCCACCCTAACCCCCCCACCCCCGACCCCCCCCCAAAAGGGCCCCCCAAACCCCCCCCAAAAGGAAAAAAACCCCCACTAACCCCCAAAAACCGGCCCCCCTAACCCCTATAAAAAAACCCCCTAAATTTTAAGTATTTAAATTTTAAAAAAACACCGGGGCCCTTTTTTTTCTAAAATTAAAAAAAGGGGGGTTTAAAATTTGGGTTGGGTTTTCCCCCCCGGGGGCCCCCATCCCCCCCCCCCAAAAAAACCCCCAAAAACCAAATTACTATTTTCCCCCTTTTCAACCCCCTCTTTAAAAAAATTTTAACAACCCAAACTTTTTTTTATTAAAAATTTATTTTTTAAAAAAGGGGTTTATGGGTGTTTTTTTTAAAAACAAACCAAAAAATTAGTTGTCTAAAAAAAACCCTAAAACCCACAAAGTGTAAAAGTTAATTTTCAAAAATTTTTGATTATTTTAAAATTTTTTTTTTTGGGCTTTAAAAACCCAAAATTTTAAAAAATTTTAAAAAATAAACTTAAATTTGGAAAATTTAAAAAAAAAGAACCACCCCTTAAAATTTTAAGCGTTTTTAATTTTTTTCTTTTCTTAACTTTATTTTTTTTTTCCCCCTAAATTTTTTTGGGGTTTTAAATTATGTTTTTTTAATTTTCTTTCTATTTTTTAAAAAATTTTTTAAAAAAAAAAAAACCTCCTAATTTGGAAACAATTTAAAAAAACCCATGGCCCAAAAACCCCCAGCACAGAGTTTTGAAATAAAGTAAAAGGGCCACTTTCAACAACTTTAAAAGGGGGGAAAACCTTGGGGGGGGGGGAAAAAAATTTGGGGGGGGAAGGGGAAAAAACCTTGTGGGAGAGGGAGAGGGAGAGTTCAACCTTGTGGGAGAGGGAGAGGGAGAGTTCAACCTTGTGGGAGAGGGAGAGGGAGAGTTCAACCTTGTGGGAGAGGGAGAGGGAGAGTTCAACCTTGTGGGAGAGGGAGAGTTCAACCTTGTGGGAGAGGGAGAGGGAGAGTTCAACCTTGTGGGAGAGGGAGAGGGAGAGTTCAACCTTGTGATGTTTATATTGATAGCAAGCTGATTTACAGAACAATTAGGAAAGATATTTAGTGATGTTTATATTAAACATCACAAACTACCAATAAACCATTACAAGAGAGGGAGAGATATTATGCTTGTCTAATTGCAGGTTTCAGCTTAGATTTATAAATTTTAGGAGCATATTATACAAATATGAAACAAATACGATTTTACTACGATGAAGAGGCTTTGTAAACTGAAATAATGAGTGAAGAAAAATCAGTTCAAGTCGGATTGTCCTCGAAACCTGCAAAGAGTCCTACGTAAAACTAAAAGGTATAAAATCCATAAGAGGACCTGTAATCCTGCAAAGAGTCCTACGTAAAACTAGAAGGTATAGAATCCAGAGGACCTGTAATCCCCTGCACAGTGGACACATGTTAGTTGTTATGTGTACGAGAACACACCGCTCCATGAGGTCCCAACTCTACAAACACTGAGAGACGCGTGGTTACCAGTTACCGGAGCTGATGTACTCGCGTGTAGTTTTCTCTGTGTACTTTCTCAGTACGTCATCCTCTGCCTCTGCTTATCTTGGTTTTTTGCTCGCCAAAATTGCGTCTTTTTCGTGAATTGTATAGTCGCAAAAAGGCAACCTAGTGTCTGACTTCGAGTCGACTTTGTGTGATTTTAACTTATTCTTAATGCTTCTGCCTTCTATTCAAAGATATTCCTGTAGAGTGTAGATTCACAGTTTACCTTACGAGACATATTTAAATGGTACGAAAGTCGGTGGTTATTATAAATCTGCAAACTCTCTCTATTTCCTCTGACAATTTCAGAATGTGAAACAAGGCTGCCAGTAAAACGTTGCCAGATCGTATTATATCGCAGTAGACCTCCCAAGGACAGGAGTCAGGACACCACCAGGCAGACTAATCTCCGCCCTGATGCTGTTGTTTGAGACCTGCACCAATATCTCCACCATCAAGTTACAGCGCCATCTCAAGCCATACAGGAGCCTTGCCATCCTGCTTGTAGTGCTAGGTGTTATTTGTGTGTCTTACCTTCACGTAGCCTCTCTTAAAGATGTAGGGGAAACTATTCAATTTAGAGCATGTAATTTACTTAGTGTATTATTGTACAATCAAAATTAAGTTCATCATTGATCTGATCAAACGTTCCATAAATACTCAATAAACCCCCCCCCCCCCCACCAACCCTCTAGGTAACCCACTAACCTCTCTTAGGAGTTGATATCACGACTAAACGAGAGCCCCCCCCCCCCACCAACCCTCTAGGTAACCCACTAACCCTCTCAGGAGTTGATATCACGACTAAACGAGCGCCCCCCCCCCCCAACCCTCTAGGTAACCCACTAACCCCCCCCCCCCCCCTCAGGAGTTGATATCACGACTAAACGAGAGCCCCCCCCCCCCCCACCAACCCTCTAGGTAACCCACTAACCCCTCTCAGGAGTTGATATCACGACTAAACGAGAGCCCCCCCCCCCCCCCCCACCAACTCTCTAGGTAACCCACTAACCCCCTCAGGAGTTGATATCACGACTAAACGAGAGCGCCGGTACAATAGATGAAGTGGACCTAGACTCGTCTCTTTATGAGAACGGCGACAAGAAGGGGGTGGATATTAAAATAGTGAGAGGGGGAAATAAATAAAGATGGAGGACCTGATGAGAAAGGGAGGGTTTGCTCCTATTAAGAAACTAAAGTTAACTACTGAGGAGCCTCCTGTGGAGATTCCAGATTTCTTTCCTAAGGTGAGGTTAAATGTACCAGTGATCATTGTAGTTACATTAACTGTCATGAGATTTAGTCCGGACACAGAGACACCTGTCACTATTTAGTTTTTTTTATTACTTAGAAGTGGATCTCAGAGATTATAGTAGTAGTTACAAACCTTCTAGAACTCCCACCACTGATAACACCTTCTAGAACTCCCACCACTGATAACACCTTCTAGAACTCCAACCACTGATAACACCTTCTAGAACATCCACCACTGATAACACCTTCTAGAACTCCCACCACTGATAACACCTTCTAGAACTTTCACCACTGATAACACCTTCTAGAACTCCCACCACTGATAACACCTTCTAGAACTCCCACCACTGATAACACCTTCTAGAACTCCCACCACTGATAACACCTTCTAGAACTCCCACCACTGATAACACCTTCTAGAACTCCCACCACTGATAACACCTTCTAGAACTCCCACCACTGATAATACCTTCTAGAACTCCCACCACTGATAACACCTTCTAGAACTCCCACCACTGATAACACCTTCTAGAACTCCCACCACTGATAACACCTTCTAGAACTCCCACCACTGATAACACCTTCTAGAACTCCCACCACTGATAACACCTTCTAGAACTCCCACCACTGATAACACCTTCTAGAACTCCCACCACTGATAACACCTTCTAGAACTCCCACCACTGATAACACCTTCTAGAACTCCCACCACTGATAACACCTTCTAGAACTCCCACCACTGATAATACCTTCTAGAACTCCCACCACTGATAACACCTTCTAGAACTCCCACCACTGATAACACCTTCTAGAACTCCCACCACTGATAACACCTTCTAGAACTCCCACCACTGATAACACCTTCTAGAACTCCCACCACTGATAACACCTTCTAGAACTCCCACCACTGATAACACCTTCTAGAACTCCCACCACTGATAACACCTTCTAGAACTCCCACCACTGATAACACCTTCTAGAGCTCCCACCACTGATAACACCTTCTAGAACTCCCACCACTGATAACACCTTCTAGAACTCCCACCACTGATAACACCTTCTAGAACTCCCACCACTGATAACACCTTCTAGAACTCCCACCACTGATAACACCTTCTCAGATAGAGCACAACTGTAAGATGAACATGAAGCGGGTGGCTGGAGCCTGGATCTCCCACCTAAAGGACCCGGGGGACGCCCAACACCGCCACAGAACCGACTCCTGGAACCTGTGCTTTGATGAGACCCTCACCAGACTCAACGCCTTCCGACCCCGGGGCACGGGGACTACTTGTGTTGTATACTCGTTCGGGTAAGTTCAGCCCCAGTTTGAGGTATTGTCTGTCGATTTAGATAAGGTTCAGGCATAATGTCTGATTTTCCAGGGTGGACAATGTTTAGGTTTTAACTTCAGTTCAAAGTTATGAGGAAAATAAACTAAATGAATTTCAAAACTTGTTAATTTGGTTAAAAGCACAGGTTAGTACCGATGAAACATTTCAATACTGGAGTAATTCTACCTCAGAATGATGTAAACCCCCTAACCCCCCCCCCCCCCCCCTAAACCCCCCTAAACCCCCTAATTCTACCTCAGAATGATGTAAACCCCTTAAACCCCCCTAAACCCCCTAAATCCCCTAATTCTACCTCAGAATGATGTAAACCCCCTAAACCCCCCTAAACCCCCTAAGTCTACCTCAGAATGGAGAACAACTGGTCGTTTAAAGAGGTAAACCCCCTAAACCCCCCTAAACCCCCTAATTCTACCTCAGAATGGAGAACAACTGGTCGTTTGAAGAGGACATGCTGCTTCACAACTGCGAGGTTCACATGTTTGATAGCTCTGAAGAAGTACACTCCAGTGTTATCAAGAGGAAAGTCAGGAACTTGTCCATCCACAGAGCTGTTCTCAGCGACCAGAACTTTCAGAAAGCGGCTTTCATACAGGGCGAGGACAGGTGATACATTAGACAGATTTCTTATAACTTTAGTGCATTTAGACTAGCGATCCACAATTTCTAAAGAAGATAATGAATTACAATTATCAGAGAGAAAGAGAACCTGCCTCCAGATAAGAAGACGCTGTCTAGCATCATGGAGGAACAGGGCCACACCAGAGTGGACGTCATCAAGGTAAAGTTAGTTTAGGTTATCGGTTAACTGGGCCACACCAGAGTGGACGTCATCAAGGTAAAGTTAGTGTAGGAACAGGGCCACACCAGAGTGGACGTCATCAAGGTAAAGTTAGTTTAGTTATCAGTTAACGTAATAAGGTTATCAGTTAACGTAATAAGTTAAGGTTATCAGTTAACGTTATAAGGTTATCAGTTAACGTAATAAGTTAAGGATATCAGTTAACGTTATAAGGTTATCAGTTAACGTAATAAGTTGGAATTTATCGGTTATCAATATTAGAATGAGAGCGAAATTCCGCTGATTTGCAACTTTAAATATCTTTTATTTCTAACCCTTGTTTCATCATGAAGCTGGATATAGGAGATGAGCTGGCAGCATTAGAGGAAGCCTCCAAAGCGTTGGTTGATGGGGTTGATCAGATATTACTGGAGGTACACATGCACATAAGTGAACATGCTCACGACTCTGCTAAACCTGAGCACTTCGAGCAGGTGAGATAAGGGGGTTAGGGGGTTAACTCTTTAAAATCACATCAGCAGGTGAGATAAGGGGTTAACTCTTTAAAATCAAATCAGCAGGTGAGACAAGGGGTTAGGGGGTTAACTCTTTAAAATCACATCAACAGGTGAGATAAGGGCCGGTTAGGGGGTTAACTCTTTAAAATCACATCAGCAGGTGAGATAAGGGCCGGTTAGGGGGTTAACTCTTTAAAATCACATCAGCAGGTGAGATAAGGGGTTAGGGGGTTAACTCTTTAAAATCACATCAGACTTACACTTGTTTGGTTTCTGTAAGGGGTACAACCAACTCCACGTTTGTCATCTTTACTCAGAAGAGAATTAAGGGATTAAAAGCCTAGAATAATCTATGTAAGATCCCTTTCAACCGTCACAAGTGATCATCATTCACCAGTCAGCAACTTAACATTCTCAGGCTACTATTGACAAGTGGACCAAGTTATTTACATCACTACGAAATGACGGTTATAGAGTTTACGATATCAGGGCTAAAGGTACGTCGTATCTTATTTTTAATATTCTTCTGTAAGTTAGATGATAGGACGAGTCAGTAATCAGTATAGCTGACTACTATAATAGCTGAAACCCTCTTCTCCCAGGTACTGACAGACACGGTAACATCATACCCAGGCACCATTACAGCTGCTGTTACCGGCTTGCTATGATCAAGACTCCTTACAGGGTCAAAGAGGTAAAGGACCTTGAGGACCTTAGTTTCGATGTGTGACACGTGCCATTACACGTGACACATGCCATTACACGTGCCACGTGCCATTACACGTGCCACGTGACACCTATCAGCTGATATAATTCCATCATGTGTTTTGCACCGATATTGTATGTGTACAGTGTGCGTATCCAAGTTTTTATATACTGAGGTTTGAGTTAACTAAATTAAAGAGTAATACATTTTTGTTTCGTAAAGATTGCACTTACCAAACACGAATAGAATTGTTAACATTTTTAACTCACGTAAAATTAACTTATTAAGATAAAATAAAATGCAGATTAACTTTCACCTAAGAATTAAGTAACAACTGTAAACACAACTGTAGTTGTGTGGATGAAGTTAATTATTATTACGATGTAAGTTTACTTTCATTACAAATATTGCTGCTTCCTATTCCAACCTAATTCGTATAATGTTCAGAATTGCAAGTTTTAAATGTTTGTTTGACTTGTCTTTAAATTGAAGCAATGGCTGAATACTAATTATGATAATTTTCAAAACATTTACCGTTGGCCTGATTTGTTATCAAGAGAAATGCTAAAAGTTGCAAAAAATTATAATAAAAGGAATCGTGATGATTTTTATGCTATATATTTTCGGCCGGTACTTGCAGAAAACTCGGAAGAGCAGACCTGTCAAGGATATAATTAATATAGACAGAGCCGGCAAGGTTAGAATCTTAATATGCTGCTATTTAGAATTGCGTCAAAGGTGCGTCATGACGCTTTTTGCAAAGAGCTGTGACCAGAGGTGGGAACTGGGAGTGTGGTCTGACACAGCTGCTGCGCTCTTCTGAGTCTTACCAGAGGTGGGAACTGGGAGTGTGGTCTGACACAGCTGCGCTCTTCTGAGTCTTACCAGAGGTGGGAACTGGGAGTGTGGTATGACAAAGCTACGCTCTTCTGAGTCTTACCAGAGGTGGGAACTGGGAGTGTGGTCTGACACAGCTGCGCTCTTCTGAGTCTTACCAGAGGTGGGAACTGGGAGTGTGGTCTGACACAGCTGCTGCGCTCTTCTGAGTCTTACCAGAGGTGGGAACTGGGAGTGTGGTCTGACACAGCTACGCTCTTCTGAGTCTTACCAGAGGTGGGAACTGGGAGTGTGGTATGACAAAGCTACGCTCTTCTGAGTCTTACCAGAGGTGGGAACTGGGAGTGTGGTCTGACACAGCTGCGCTCTTCTGAGTCTTACCAGAGGTGGGAACTGGGAGTGTGGTCTGACACAGCTGCGCTCTTCTGAGTCTTACCAGAGGTGGGAACTGGGAGTGTGGTCTGACACAGCTGCGCTCTTCTGAGTCTTACCAGAGGTGGGAACTGGGAGTGTGGTCTGACACAGCTGCGCTCTTCTGAGTCTTACCAGAGGTGGGAACTGGGAGTGTGGTCTGACAAAGCTACGCTCTTCTGAGTCTTAGCAGAGGTGGGAACTGGGAGTGTGGTCTGACACAGCTGCGCTCTTCTGAGTCTTACCAGAGGTGGGAACTGGGAGTGTGGTCTGACACAGCTGCGCTCTTCTGAGTCTTACCAGAGGTGGGAACTGGGAGTGTGGTCTGACACAGCTGCGCTCTTCTGAGTCTTACCAGAGGTGGGAACTGGGAGTGTGGTCTGACACAGCTGCGCTCTTCTGAGTCTTACCAGAGGTGGGAACTGGGAGTGTGGTCTGACAAAGCTACGCTCTTCTGAGTCTTACCAGAGGTGGGAACTGGGAGTGTGGTCTGACACAGCTGCGCTCTTCTGAGTCTTACCAGAGGTGGGAACTGGGAGTGTGGTCTGACACAGCTACGCTCTTCTGAGTCTTACCAGAGGTGGGAACTGGGAGTGTGGTCTGACACAGCTGCGCTCTTCTGAGTCTTACCAGAGGTGGGAACTGGGAGTGTGGTCTGACACAGCTGCGCTCTTCTGAGTCTTACCAGAGGTGGGAACTGGGAGTGTGGTCTGACACAGCTACGCTCTTCTGAGTCTTACCAGAGGTGGGAACTGGGAGTGTGGTCTGACACAGCTACGCTCTTCTGAGTCTTACCAGAGGTGGGAACTGGGAGTGTGGTCTGACAAAGCTGCGCTCTTCTGAGTCTTACCAGAGGTGGGAACTGGGAGTGTGGTCTGACAAAGCTGCGCTCTTCTGAGTCTTACCAGAGGTGGGAACTGGGAGTGTGGTCTGACAAAGCTGCGCTCTTCTGAGTCTTACCAGAGATGGGAACTGGGAGTGTGGTCTGACAAAGCTGCGCTCTTCTGAGTCTTACCAGAGGTGGGAACTGGGAGTGTGGTCTGACACAGCTGCGCTCTTCTGAGTCTTACCAGAGGTGGGAACTGGGAGTGTGGTCTGGCAAAGCTGCGCTCTTCTGAGTCTTACCAGAGGTGGGAACTGGGAGTGTGGTCTGGCAAAGCTGCGCTCTTCTGAGTCTTACCAGAGGTGGGAACTGGGAGTGTGGTCTGACACAGCTGCGCTCTTCTGAGTCTTACCAGAGGTGGGAACTGGGAGTGTGGTCTGACACAGCTGCGCTCTTCTGAGTCTTACCAGAGGTGGGAACTGGGAGTGTGGTCTGACACAGCTGCGCTCTTCTGAGTCTTACCAGAGGTGGGAACTGGGAGTGTGGTCTGACACAGCTGCGCTCTTCTGAGTCTTACCAGAGGTGGGAACTGGGAGTGTGGTCTGATACAGCTGCGCTCTTCTGAGTCTTACCAGAGGTGGGAACTGGGAGTGTGGTCTGACACAGCTGCGCTCTGCTGAGTCTTACCAGAGGTGGGAACTGGGAGTGTGGTCTGACACAGCTACGCTCTTCTGAGTCTTACAGTTGAACTAGTAAAAACGGACTTAAATCTACAACTCCCATCAATCTATTCTACAACCGATGTATTTTATTTTGTTGCTTCCAATAAATGGAAAAGATCTGACAGTTGTGCTTTGATACTTTTTTTGCTTGATGTTCTTGCTTTCTGACAAGCGTGCCTTGATTCTGTAGGGTAAAACATAAACCCTGTTTGACTTTTTTATGCGAGTCAGTGCTTTTCATAAAATCATAAAATCAAATCAAATCATAGATAAAATCAAATCATAGATCAAATCAAATCATAAATCAAATCATATTTTTTGTTTGACACATGCCAAATGCATCTTTACTACAACGTTCTTAGATAATATAATACAACTAAAATAAGAAATATAATAATATGAGTAGTATGTACTGTTACAATACTGTTACAATACTGTTACAATACTGTTACAATACTGTTACAATACTGTTACAATACTGTTACAATACTGTTACAATACTGTTACAATACTGTTACAATACTGTTACAATACTGTTACAATACTGTTACAATACTGTTACAATACTGTTACAATACTGTTACAATACTGTTACAATACTGTTACAATACTGTTACAATACTGAGTATCCTGATACATACTCAATCGGATATAGTTCATAACTTGGAACTGCGCAGTAACTTAGCAGGGTAATTTTGGAGTCAGAACACGACTAGTAGAACAACCTGAAGCAGTTGTAAAATTCAATATAATGCGGATGAATTAATTAATTAATTTTAACTCTGCCACAGCACATAGGTTTCGGTTGTAGTTGTACTAACTTGGCCAACAAGAAAGCCCTGCTGGGAAATCGAATTAATTGGCGAGTCAATACTCGGCGTCGAAAGCAGGAGAAGTTGTCACGTGCTGGCTAACCAATCACGTGCCTCCTTTTTGGCACGTGTCCAATCAATCTACCCAATCAGAAGTGCTCAATAGTTATCGTTAGCTAATGAGAGCTGCACTGGAGAGATGTTGGAGATTAAGAGCACGGTGCTATATTCTATTGTTATTTTCTATACCTTTTTGCGCATTATATCTGAAAGTTACGATCTGTTTTTTGATTTGTTGAGTGCTATTGTAACTTGTAACTTGTAACTTGTAACTTGTAACTTGTAACTTGTAACTTGTAACTTGTAACTTGTAACTTGTAACTTGTAACTTGTAACTTGTTACTTGTAACTTGTTACTTGTAACTTGTAACTTGTAACTTGTAACTTGTAACTTGTAACTTGTAACTTGCAACTTGTAACTTGTAACTTGTAACTTGTAACTTGTAACTTGTAACTTGTTACTTGTAACTTGTAACTTGTAACTTGTAACTTGTAACTTGTAACTTGTAACTTGTAACTTGTAACTTGTAACTTGTAACTTGTAACTTGTAACTTGTAACTTGTAACTAGTAACTTGTAACTTGTAACTTGTAACTTGTAACTTGTAACTTGTAACTTGTAACTTGTAACTTGTAACTTGTAACTTGTAACTTGTAACTTGTAACTTGTAACTTGTAACTTGTTACTTGTAACTTGTTACTTGTAACTTGTAACTTGTAACTTGTAACTTGTAACTTGTAACTTGTAACTTGTAACTTGTAACTTGTAACTTGTAACTTGTAACTTGTAACTTGTAACTTGTAACTTGTAACTTGTAACTTGTAACTTGTAACTTGTAACTTGTAACTTGTAACTTGTAACTTGTAACTTGTAACTTGTAACTTGTAACTTGTAACTTGTAACTTGTAACTTGTAACTTGTAACTTGTAACTTGTAACTTGTAACTTGTAACTTGTAACTTGTAACTTGTAACTTGTAACTTGTAACTTGTAACTTGTAACTTGTAACTTGTAACTTGTAACTTGTAACTTGTAACTTGTAACTTGTAACTTGTAACTTGTAACTTGTAACTTGTAACTTGTAACTTGTAACTTGTAACTTGTAACTTGTAACTTGTAACTTGTAACTTGTAACTTGTAACTTGTAACTTGTAACTTGTAACTTGTAACTTGTAACTTGTAACTTGTAACTTGTAACTTGTAACTTGTAACTTGTAACTTGTAACTACTAGAAGAGTTGAAGATTTCACGGATAATTGTTGGCCACAGTCTAAAGACCATGCCAAGTTTCGCTTCAATTAGCAGTCTGCAATGTCGACTGCAATTTACCGAAATTATTACTCAACTATTACTACTCGCCACTAGAAATTACAACTGTAACATATACAATTCAGATGAGAAATCCCGAAATAGTCTTCGGTAAAGCTTTCTTCAATTAATTTAACCGCTTTTAATTTAAGCGTCAGACTTAGGCTCCACCTTTACTTTCAATATAAATGAGAAAACAAATATGACTGCATATTTTTAGGTCTTTCTTGTTTATTGTTAACAATTTTCAAATCAGGCTATTCATCAATTGAATTTATTTTGCACGGTATCTTTTAACTTTTTTCAGTTTGCAATTTGATGGAAACAGCAATGAGCAGCCCGGACAGGGGTCGGGCTATCTAGATACTGCCCAGGTTACTCCAGTTATCTAGTTGAATCAGTTGAAAACTGCGGTAATTATTGGACGTCATATTTTGTAAAATGGTACCTGATATGGTGAGGAGCTCCCTACTGCAACTGTAAAACATTAAGGAGCAAGTAGGAGGATCGTTATAGTTACGACCTGTTTCAGTGTTACAATCTGTAAAACATTAAGTAGCAAGTAGGAGGATCGTTATAGTTACGACCTGTTTCAGTGTTACAATCTGTAAAACATTAAGTAGCAAGTAGGAGGATCGTTATAGTTACGACCTGTTTCAGTGTTACAATCTGGAAATATGAGTGGACTTAACGGAACCTACTAATGTTAAGTAGATTAAGAACACCAGTCTCTAGTAGAGACTCCAAATAGTTCCACTACTCACTTAGATTGTATACTTCAGAGCATGTTGGATTATGACACCTTTATAAACCATCTTGTTTTGCAACTTTTCCGTCTCTCGTTTTGATAACATTTAACGTTTCTGATTCTTACATTTGAAGGGGTCGCTCTCCAAACCGATTAACAGGAGGGTGCTAATATTACAACTCAACACATCTATACTATATCCATTAAATAGACTGTATCTTACTTTGCCTTTTGATCGATCAGTAGCAGATAATAGTAATCTCTGACTGTTAAATGAGGTTTTCTGCAGGATGTGATGTATCGTTAGTTAATTGTAACTGTAAGAGAGACTATATCAAGATGAAGATTGAGAAGGAGAAGCTGACCAACCAGCTCTCCTCCTCCAGTCAGAAGACTAAGAAGAGGATGAGACCGAGGGGTTCTATGCCGTCCTCCTGGTTTACTCTGCCTACTGATCTTCAAGCTATGGAGGTGAGGTTTTAACTGGCAGAGATTAGTTATTTATAGTGTTACTACTACTATTAGTTAGTTTGTTAGTTGAATTGATAACTTCGCTGTCAGCAATAATCAAAGAAAATAATACGAGATAAAAGGGTTGATATTAAAATCTGCCAGGATAAAATAGAACAAGAGCTGCTGGCAACCAGAGAGGAAAGTAGAGAGAAATGGAGCAGTCAGTATTCCTTCTTTCTGGGAGTGATAGGAAGTGCAGTGGGCCTGGGCAACATTTGGCGGTTTCCTTCCTTAATTGCAATGTAAGTAACTAATTGGGAACATTTTGTGATAAAAGAACACTAACTTAGAGTTAGAATACTGTTGAAGTGAATGTGTCTCAGTGATCTCCAATCTAAGTGTTGTAATAAACAGCTGGAGGTTGAATTTATAATACCGTAATGAGGTAATGTATTCAGGTTTGGAGGCGGCCCCTTTATTGTGGCGTATATAATAGTCCTGCTCCTGATCGGACTCCCTATGATGACGTTGGAGCTTACTCTGGGGCAGAAGTTTCAGGGCGGAGATGTGGACGCGTTCGGGTCCATCAACCCTCGCTTCAGGTACAATCTGGGTTGGGAGGTTACAGGTTCGGGTCCATCAACCCTCGCTTCAGGTACTATCTGGGTTGGGAGGTTACAGGTTCGGGTCCATCAACCCTCGCTTCAGGTACTATCTGGGTTGGGAGGTTACAGGTTCGGGTCCATCAACCCTCGCTTCAGGTACTATCTGGGTTGGGAGGTTACAGGTTCGGGTCCATCAACCCTCGCTTCAGGTACTATCTGGGTTGGGAGGTTACAGGTTCGGGTCCATCAACCCTCGCTTCAGGTACTATCTGGGTTGGGAGGTTACAGGTTCGGGTCCATCAACCCTCGCTTCAGGTACTATCTGGGTTGGGAGGTTACAGGTTCGGGTCCATCAACCCTCGCTTCAGGTACTATCTGGGTTGGGAGGTTACAGGTTCGGGTCCATCAACCCTCGCTTCAGGTACTATCTGGGTTGGGAGGTTACAGGTTCGGGTCCATCAACCCTCGCTTCAGGTACTCTATGGGTTGGGAGGTTACAGGTTCGGGTCCATCAACCCTCGCTTCAGGTACTATCTGGGTTGGGAGGTTACAGGTTCGGGTCCATCAACCCTCGCTTCAGGTACTATCTGGGTTGGGAGGTTACAGGTTCGGGTCCATCAACCCTCGCTTCAGGTACTATCTGGGTTAAGAGGTTACAGGTTCGGGTCCATCAACCCTCGCTTCAGGTACTATCTGGGTTGGGAGGTTACAGGTTCGGGTCCATCAACCCTCGCTTCAGGTACTATCTGGGTTGGGAGGTTACAGGTTCGGGTCCATCAACTCTCGCTTCAGGTACTATCTGGGTTGGGAGGTTACAGGTTCGGGTCCATCAACCCTCGCTTCAGGTACTATCTGGGTTGGGAGGTTACAGGTTCGGGTCCATCAACTCTCGCTTCAGGTACTATCTGGGTTGGGAGGTTACAGGTTCGGGTCCATCAACTCTCGCTTCAGGTACTATCTGGGTTGGGAGGTTACAGGTTCGGGTCCATCAACCCTCGCTTCAGGTACTCTCTGGGTTGGGAGGTTACAGGTTCGGGTCCATCAACCCTCGCTTCAGGTACTATCTGGGTTGGGAGGTTACAGGTTCGGGTCCATCAACCCTCGCTTCGGGTCCATCATCCCTCGCTTCAGGTACTATCTGGGTTAAGAGGTTACAGGTTCGGGTCCATCAACCCTCGCTTCAGGTACTATCTGGGTTGGGAGGTTACAGGTTCGGGTCCATCAACCCTCGCTTCAGGTACTATCTGGGTTGGGAGGTCACAGGTTCGGGTCCATCAACCCTCGCTTCAGGTACTATCTGGGTTGGGAGGTTACAGGTTCGGGTCCATCAACTCTCGCTTCAGGTACTATCTGGGTTGGGAGGTTACAGGTTCGGGACCATCAACCCTCGCTTCAGGTACTATCTGGGTTGGGAGGTCACAGGTTCGGGTCCATCAACCCTCGCTTCAGGTACTATCTGGGTTGGGAGGTTAACTTTCCCACTTTACTAAAGAAATAACATAAGGTCCAGTTAACCGAATATAATGAGGAGGATCCATTACAATTGCTTACCCCAGAGGTATTGCTTACCCCCCCCCCCCTCCAGAGGTATTGGGGTCGCGTCAGTACTCTGCTCCTTCATCGCCTCCACTAACTACACAGTTATCCTGTCCTGGGCAGCTATATACTTCTTCGAGAGTATGGTACCTTCACTCCCCTACTCCATACAATCCAAGGAAGGAGCCACTAATGGGACTTACACTTTTGATAGATATATTCACGGGGCTATACTTCACTTCAATAACACTCACTTCGGTAAGTATATAAGGTAAGACTAACACGTGATGCCCATATGAGGTAATCACCAAGTCAGATTCACAGACTCATATTTCTTGGTTTCTGAACTATCTTATAGTTAATAAAATTGTCCCTTCACCAAAGTCAAGATACACAAGTTTGTCACCTATTTAACACTTCCAACCTAGGCGCCGAGACGCTAGACTCAGTCCACGGTAACTTCAACTGGAAGTCTTTTGGAGCACTGCTCCTAATCTGGCTGCTTATCTACGCCTGTATCTTCAAAGGGATAAGAGTTGTCAGTCACGTTGTCAAGGTTACAGCTACTGTGCCCCTTTTCATCATCATCATTCTAGCTGTTATGGGTGAGTGAAATAGCTTATAGCCGGGGAATAGCCAACCAGCCAGTAACTAAAAGTTTGTAAGTGAGCAATACTGCAGCCCTTATTTCAAAATAAGAGTATTAAGGTACTTACAAGCTAACACTCCGGCAGGTTCATTCCAAGAAGGAGCTACAAGTGGTATCCTGGTGTACCTGGGGGTTGAGAAAGAGGAACTAACAGTAGATCAGCAGGACTCCACCCCTACCTGGTCCGTGCTGGGTAACAAGGATATCTGGATAAGAGCTATTGGCCAGGTCTTCTTCTCTCTGGGTCTCTGTATGGGGTGTGTCACCGCTTACAGCTCCTTCAACCCTAAGAACCAGAACATCTCCAGGGATGGCAAGATTATCTGTGTCAGGTAAACAGGTTCTAGTGTTTTATTAGAGCGGCTACTTCAAAACAGTTATTATGATTATTTTCATCATCTGTCAGTTTTAGGCAACAAATTGTTCATCCAAAATCGTATGATATAAATTTTATTTTCTCGACTACCGAGGTAGAGCACTCCTTATATGGGCATCACGTGTAGACAAGTTAGTACACTCTAACGAACCCTCTCCCCTCAGTGACTTCCTGGCCTCGCTTCTAGCGGGAGTTAGTGTGTACGAAATGCTGGGGTTCGTCAAGAGAATGTGTGAAGAGACAGCAGAGGACAAGTCCCTCTGTAAGAATATTTACAGTAAAGGGGGGTTCGAGCTAGCATTCGTCACCTACCCGGCAGGGATTGCCATGTCCTACGCTCCCAACCTGTGGGGAATCCTCTTCTTTGGCTGCTTACTCTTCCTCGGTATCGACAGCGCCTTCTCCATGATAATAGCCTTTACCACAGTGCTGGAAGATGCCTGGTTTGCAAAGAGGTGGAAACTCACTAAACCAGTGCTGACTGCTGTAGTTTGTATTGTCGGCTTCCTCCTTGGGTTTATCTACCTCTTTGATACGGGGTACTTCCTCATGGATATAGCTGACCACTATCTTAATGACTGGTGTCTCATGCTCATCGGATTCGTGCAGGCAGTCGCTTGTGGGTGGTAAGTGCACTGTAATGTGTATAGTGTATCTTTGTGTATAGGGAATCATTCTCAAATGTAACATCAAATTAAATGGATCACAATTTTTAACGATATAACTCTTGCAATTCGTCTTCAAACTCTTAAATATTTCTACATTATATTTCAGGGTCTATCAGGCACCGTACCAAGCTAAGAGAGTGGGGAAGTTCTCCGTTGTCCTGTATGACATGTGCTTCTTTGTAGCGATCACCCTGGGAGTGATAATCGCAGTGAGCGGCAACAAGGACAGTGATGTGGACGTGATCTGGGTCGGAGTCTTTATCGGGATGTTTGTGTGGATATTTGGTCTGGTAGCTGCTGTCCTCCTCTCCAAGGGAAGGGTTAATGGTATTGGGGAGAAGGTGTGGTGTATTGCAGGCTGGCACGGTCCTGATATGATCAGGAGGATGGTTAACAAGGAGTATGAAGCGGAGTGGGAGCCGGGGCACTTCAGAGATGAGATAAAAGCACTGCTCAGATTCGACATGATCAGTGCTCCATTCGGGTTTCTTATTAAGTACATAATACCAGGCGTGCTACTACTTCTAGTAGGGTTAGCGCTTAGCAGGGACCTACAGGAGCCCTATAACGGGTATACGGTGGAGTACAACCTGTTAGGTATCCTTATTGTTGTGTCAGTTCTCTCTTGCATGCTCATCCTCTTCCTCTTCCCCCGACTCTGGTACGATATATCCTACTGTGGAACTACTCCTACTTTCTCTTCTTGGTTAAAGTGGGTGTTCGTTCCAAAGAGCGTCAACAGAGTGGAGGATTTGGCGCTGGCAAGAAAAAGGTCGACTGCAGCGTGACTACAGAGCGACTACAGCGTGAATGCAGCGTGACTGCAGCGTGACTACAGCGTAACTGTTCTGTCAATTTGGTGCAAGTTTTAAAACATATGTAATTTGATGTTAAGAGTCAGGATGAGACACGTAGGCAGGTTTAGAAAGTAAAACTGCGCTCAGGTGGAGAAACCTTTAAACATGAAGGAGAAAGTGAACACTGCTTTAGGGAAACTTAAGATAGTTCTTGGTAATCAGTATGAATATGTTATAGTTTTCATTAGTTGTTCAAACACATATTTTCTCTTTTTTTAAAGGATTAACAATTGGATATTGATAACAAATTAGACACTCAAATAATCGAATAATGATAGAATTTTGGAATAACGAATCATGAAGACGAAAAGAAATTGCATACTAACAACGTAAATTTGGTTAAATTGTCCAATAAAGTAATAAACCTTGTCCAGCTATATCCAGTAATTCTAGTGGCACATGTGCTCATGTCTGCACACACCATCACTACATCTGATGGTTCCTCCAGGGCAATCCCCTTCAGCCTCTTCCTCCTCCTCTTCCTTTTCCTCCTCCTCTTCCTCTTCCTCGCCACACTTCTCTCTGCACTCTCCGTCCTCACACTTCATTGTGCCTGAATCACATGACTCCTTGCAAGGCACAACCTGGAAAGCACTATGGGTTGTCTTGGAGGGCTTCAGTTTCTTGCCTGAGCTCAGAAGGAAGACTTTTCCATTGTTGTAGATTCCTTTGCAGCCCTTTGTTTCCATACACTCGTTTTTAGCTTTGTCAAGCTTCTTTGACTTCAGCTTCTTGCCATCAGCGGTCTTCATCTTCTTGCCCAGCTTCTGTCCGGCGTATTCCTCCCAACAGAGAGTATCCTTTATTTGGAATGTAAGGCGGTCCTCCTCACACCCTGACCAGATCACTATGTTAGTATCCTCAGCAGGGCTCTCCAGTCCACCGTGTGGGTGCCAGCAGAATCCCTCCCCAGCCTTGATCTTGAATCCTTTCTCCGTCGTGTCCCAGGTGTAAGCGCCCTTGCAAGATCCGAACTTGACCTTATCATCATACATGCTCGGGTCAGAGACAGTAAGACATTTTCCAGTGGCTTTATCCTTGACGTATCCCTTGGTTGTGTAGCAGAACTCTCGGCTGCACCCAGCACTGGTTAGAACCGTGTTCATTTCCGAAGTTTCGTCCATATCTACACACAATCCCCCAAAGTGTTGGATCTCTCCGCAAATGACATCACTTCCGATATCAAACCCTTCTTCCTCTTCCTCCTCCTGCTCTTCTTCCTCTTCTTCTTCCTCATCGCCGTTTTCCCAACCGTCACAAGTTTGACCAGGTTTGCAGGTAAGCGCTGGTGCTTGAGCATATGCGTTGACACCACAAATGTTGTTCTGGGCCCTGGTCATCTTGATGTAGCCTCCATCACCCCAGTTAACGCCCCAGCTGTTCCTTACGTTCCAATATTCACTAGTGTACCCGACCATGGTGACAGCGTGGTTCAGTTGTCCGGAACAGTCACATGTACCTTCACACGAGTAAATACCTGCAATAATTTGGTTAGTTATTAACAATATGAGTGGGCGTACTTTTAAATACTAGCAGAACACTTCACATTCCACAGTTGCGAACATATGTTTTAAGTAACCAACCTTCTCGGTATTGTGAGAAAGTATCCACCACCTGGAGCGAAACAGTCACTACTCCTTCAGCAACTCCTTCAGCCAGCAAGGTATCAGATCCCTTATACCAGGTGATGCCTGTAACGTCAGCTTTAACCATAGCGTTAGCCTCTGAAGCCATGTTACAGGCCCTGTCCGCTGCTACGTAGGGGAAGTCAGTCATACTCGCCATCCTCTTAGTGTCTATACTGTAGTCATAAGCCCAGTGCATCCACGCACCACTGCACCCGCTGTGGTTCTCAGCCCAGTCGGACCTGTGCTTCTCGTAAAAGTGTTCCATAGTGCAGTCCAGGTACTCCTGCTCACTGAAGGCCACCAGGTCCCCGGTCAGCGCGAAGTACCGTCCCTCCAGAGCACTGACAGCACCAAACGCCCAGCAACTCCCACAACCTCCCTGGTTCTTAACCCCCACCTGCGCGCCCCGAGCTAGCCAGTTCACTGACGCAGGGGCCTGGCGCTTCACGCGAGCTGTCTCTTCTTACTGGACCTCTTGGTAAACTCGTCCGTCAGGTTAGCAGGGTTCAAATTGAGGAGGTTAGCCTTCTCTTGGTTTGTCATGACTGAAATGAAGTTCAGTGTTGCTGTGTACTGTGTGCTTGGGTCATCATTGACGTCTTCCCTCACAGTAACGGCGTTCTCGAAGTTAAGAAGACGCTCCCTCATTTCGTCACTGTCTGATCGTTTCAATAGCATCTGAAACAAAACATGATAGCTTATAAATCCTTTGAAATACTTTTGCAATTAAACAAGTACAGAAACCGATACTACAGTAAATGGTGGACACCAAATTAAATAACAAAATCACTGCTAAGTTTTAACTGTACTCATTTTAGTAAACAATGTTTGTATGATATTTGAAGCAGCACAGACCGTCAGATCATGCCCAATTACCTGTAATCCATCATTACCATGATACTTAGCGAAAGTGCTCTTGAACATCGCGTTGATGTTGTCGGCATGGTTTTTCGAACCAGCCTGTAAAACTCCGAACAGAGTTACGAAAACAAACACACACTTCATGGTTTAAGTTGGGAATTTGTGTCAGGTGTTTGCTATTTAAGGGTACTGTTAAGGAGCCGGTAGTGAACGTCACCATCGCATTGTCTTGCGCTACTTTGTCTGCGAGACAAAAGAAAGACACAGACAATGTACCGCAACGTCGGAGGTTGGAGAAGGCTACAATGGATGAAAGCTTTTTCACAGCTTAAGTTTTCCTAGCGTTTTATTCCCACCAGATAATTTCATTGAGCGATAAAGCGAACAAAGGTTCAGTCTATACTCTACTGCCACTCGCTATGAACAAGTTTCTTTTCTTTTGTCCCAGCTAGGATGTCCTACGTATAACGACAATGGATGTTTTATTGACGTATGTTTGTTGCGGTAAGCTCAAATGCGATAAGTGCTTAACCCATTAGGGACGACGAGTTTTAAAGTTTGCCGATTTTGATGCCGTTTAACACACTAGGTCACATTACAGCAAAAATGGGATATCCAAAAAAGCTAATCTGTATCTCGTTTACTTTAAAAGATACAGCTATGGTCGCATACGACCCACTCGTCCGGGTCGCAAACGACCCATCACAGTTTTTCGGCCATTACTTCTGAAACAAAGACGTTAGGATAAAATAAAAACTGTAGCATAAGTTAAAAACATATGGTCAATACTGTGTGACTCTAAATTTTCAAAAATAGAGAATTTGGGTCATTAACGACCCACTCGGCTCACTTGCTTATTACTACATTTGTCCATGTAACTTCTTGAATTCAGCCTAAAACATGACATCATAAGTGGAAACTCGCCTCTCAGTAAGTGATTATCATCATAAACTGCGAAAAATCGGTTAAATGGGTCATTAGCGACCCACTAGGACCACAAAATTGATTAATTAAATATAATGTTGTCAAACTATTACAAATATTAGTATAAAAACATGTTATATCTTGGTCATTACTCCTGTACGTTGATTTAACTTTTAAAATCGATCAACTGGGTCAATAACGACCCACTCGGAAGTTGAACCACGTCATTAATTATCAGTATCATGCTGTTCCACCATCAAGACGTAGGTCTTAATTCCACGCAAACCACGGGTGGTTGACCACTAGCCCTCCTGAGATTTGGAGTCTCACGGTGATCTGCAGATCACGTCACCCAATCACTGACGAATAATGGGCAGAATTGGATTGATAGGTAGGCCAGTTAATTAGCTGTTAGTACACGACCGTAATGTTGTCAGACAACAAACAACGTGCCTATCTTTTCCCGATTCCTAAAAAGTCCAAGAAGAACTATACAACTGCTGGATTCAGATTTCAGATGGCTGCATCTACTCATTTCGCAGCTTCCTTTCTTTACTTCCTAGGGGCCGTTCACATTGACATAATATTACGTAATCACTTATTGGACAATTTTTAGCCCCGGCCCCCCCACACCCCACCACATAGCTATTATGTCAAAATTACACTAGCGTAATCATTTGGAAACCCCCCTCCCTCTCGGCCGATTACGTAATACTTGGTTTCGTTTTGAAAGCTGCCTCTTTGTTGCGGGGTTGTTACCCACAACGAAGTAGTTGTCTGAGAGATTGCAGGTTGCAGCACCGCCAGCCAGATGGGGGGGGGGGGGGGCTTTTTCCTTGTCCTTCTTCACAGAGCTGTAGATTTAGCCATCTGAATGCAGCAGTTGTTTAGTTATTCTCGTACTTTCTAGGAATGTCAAACAGGTTGGCATGTTGGATTAGAATATGCAATTTGACCGCTCTTCTTTCAGTATTTACCCAAGGTTACAGGATATCTCGTAAACTTCGTTCAGGGGATTTTTCTTGAGTGACATGATCTGATCACCGTGGGACCCTGGGTCTCAAGCGGTGAGGTGTAGCAGGTCGTTTACCAAGATTCGAAATTGACGAAAAAGGTAACAGAATCTAATAAGCAACAACAACAGCATGGCTATTACCTAGCAAGTTAGGAACGAGGGCCGATCTCCTTTTCTTTTGCGACACGGCCACGGTCCTTTCGGTACAGATTTTCACGCACCATAGTCAGGACGAAACTCCAGGCATATGCAGTCGTGTTATTCTCACAGCTCTTTGATGAGTGATGACTGCCCTTCAGTTGGCCCTAGATCTCAGAAGGGCTAGTTGTCAGCCACCGTGGTTTGTGTGGAATTAAGACCTACGAGTGTCTTTCTTGATGGTGGAACAGCATGATAATTAATGAAGTGGTTCAGCTTCCGAGTGGGTCGTTATTGACCCAGTTGATCGATTTAAGAAGTTAAATCAACGTACAGGAGTAATGACCAAGATATAATATGTTTTTATACTAATATTTGTAAAAGTTTGACAACATTATATTTAATTAATCAATTTTGTGGTCCTAGTGGGTCGCTAATGACCCATTTAACCGATTTTTCGCAGTTTATGATGATAATCACTTGCTGAGAGGCGAGTTTCCACTTATGATGTCATGTTTTAGGCTGAATTCAAGAAGTTACATGGACAAATGTAGTAATAAGCAAGTGATCCGAGTGGGTCGTTAATGACCCAAATTCTCTATTTTTGAAAAGTTAGAGTCACACAGTATTGACCATACGTTTTTAACTTATGCTACAGTTTTTATTTTATCCTAACGTCTTTGTTTCAGAAGTAATAGCCGAAAAACCGTGATGGGTCGTTTGCGACCCGGACGAGTGGGTCGTATGCGACCGCAGTTAGTAAACAGCGTCTAGCTCTGTTTGTGAACATTTGATTATCACGGGCTTTTCATTTGTGCCAAGGAAATCGTTGCCCGCAACTATTTTGTTCTCAAAAAAATAAGCCTACATAAAGTTTTAATGTCCCAATCAAGGCAAGAAGTTAAGTGAAATATTTTCCAATTATTACGACTAATTAGTCTAATTATTTAATTGTTAGTGATTAATTGGGTCTCGACTGGAAAGTCAATAATGTAGCCCAATAAATTGTGAGCATATGTGCGAAAGATTCGTGGCGTTTAGTATTTTGGTTTGTCCTCTATAGCCTCTAGAAAAGGTGGGTCGTAAACGACCCTATCGTCCCTAATGGGTTAAGTGTAGAGACTATGGTAACGTGACGTCACTGGACGCTATATATCAAGATTCAAGAACCTAACATGGTTACCTAAACTAATAATTTATTCGCCTAAATTGTGAACATTGGATTTTGACTAGGGTGAGGCCCAAAAGAATGGTTATTATCTTATTTAACGGGTGATACTCGTAAAATATTTATTCCAACTCGGCGCGCGTCCTGGTAGGTTACCTACAATATCTTATCAGTTAATTCTACCTTAATGATCAGTGTAGCTAAACACTGTAAATGCACAAAAGTAAAAATTCTTAATAAAGGGGACACAGAAATGACATTTATACTGCTTGCTGTGCCCAATTCATATTACAAATATTTATTAAAAATTCAGAACTGGTGCTAGTCCCAATATTTTATATCATTCATGAGTTTGTCTGGAGGGAGGTTTTCTTCATTCAGTTCGTGTTTGGAATTTTGGCGCTGTGTACCATAATCTGTAACATTTGTTTAAACTTACAAATCTGAACACAGCTGCTCAATTTGTTTCATTGCCTCCAGCCCGCGACTCTAACTCAAACGTCTCATGTGCCCCCTTTTCCACTTTTCTTATAACCCCTTCCTCTTTGACAGATCTATTGCTGGATTCACTGACAGTGGTACCTCTGAAGGGGTCTCTCTCCTGCAACTCCGACTCTGAAGCTCTTTGCACCCTCCTCACTGTGTCTGCTCCAGGACCCCCTGCTTTACACACCACACCACTCTGCACCTGTCCTAACCGCTCCACTGCTAACTTGGCTTTAATGAGCGTTCTGTTTAGAGCGAGTTCTGCGTCCTCCAGCGCTGCTAACATGTCGTCAGAGTAGGTCAGGTCCTGGATAGTACCCGAGCTGGAGGTAACCACTGTGTTCAGCTTGTTACTCAGGCTCCCCAGATCTACCACCGTCCTCTGAACGTGATCCTGAAAATTATCATGGTCACGTGTTGTTAGAGGCTACCAATCACCATGGTAACGTGTTGTTAGGGGCTACCAATTACCATGGTCACGTGTTGTTAGGGAGTTGGGGCTACCAATTACCATGGTCACGTGTTGTTAGGGAGTTGGGGCTACCAATTACCATGGTCACGTGTTGTTAGGGAGTTGGGGCTACCAATTACCATGGTCACGTGTTGTTAGGGAGTTAGGGGTTACCAATTACCATGGTCACGTGTTGTTAGAGGCTACCAATTACCATGGTCACGTGTTGTTAGAGGCTACCAATCACCATGGTCACGTGTTGTTAGAGGCTACCAATCACCATGGATGGTTGCCATAAAGTTAAAATCAAGACACGACTACGGACTATGCCGACTAAAAGTTAGCCGCTAAGGTTTTGATCCTTAACATAAGGAGTAAGGAGTAAGATAAGGAGTAAGGAGTAAGATAAGGAGTAAGGATTAAGATAAGGAGTAAGGATTAAGGAGTAAGGAGTAAGATAAGGAGTAAGGAGTAAGATAAGGAGTAAGGAGGAGTAAGATAAGGAGTAAGGAGTAAGATAAGGAGTAAGGAGTAAGATAAGGATTAAGTTCTCGCCTGGATCCTGTGATAAGCAGACTCAGCGTTATTCCCCAGATTAATAACCGTTGAGGTGAGGGATTCTGATAACCGCCTGGTTGCCAGCTCTGAAGCAGCCCTCGTACCCTGTACCCTCGACCTGCTCATCTTTCTGGGGTGTGGTCCAGTTTGTATTGTGGTACCCGACACTTGAGTCTGTGAGGGAGGGGTTTATAAACTCTGCTAATTTACTCAATTATTGAGTCTATTTTATTTTAGAGGACTGAGGTTTTGAGTTTTGATTAAATCTGTTTTCGCAAAAAAACTGTTTTTTGTCAATAGAATTATATTTTAGTGTCAAACCTTAATTACTTGCGTTTGGAGGTTCATTTTGGAAAGTTCATCAATAGTGGAAACTCATTTTTTAAACAATGTAACAGAAAAACAAATATTGTAGAGAGAAAGTTTCTATCTAAACTAAAGCTAAACAACCGATAAAAAAAGTTCCGGGGCGAAGTTTCATCTTACAGCTTTTACTGAAAGAAAGATTTGTGGTGTCGGGTTTCACTAATCACTGAGTTTTACACCAAGCATTTTGAAATAACTTTTTCTACTTTTTAAACGCTCTTATTATCTCCCCTCTCCTCTAAATACAATATTATACAATATAAATATACGGTTTGGGTTTTGGGAAACAACTGGACTAAGGTTACATTTAAACCATGTATTAACATTTTACCCATAAATATCTATAGTTCTTCCAAACAATAATTGTCCAAACACCAACGGTTCAACACATTTAGAATCACGCTGAATCTCAGGGAAGTATGTAGCCGGTTACGTATTCCTGCTTTTTGTACTGCACTGTCGCTTCCTCTAGAGGGATCTCGTTACTGTGCTCCACCAACTTTATCCGTGTGTCTCGCTTTGGGATGGACTTTTGTCTTGAAGTGCCTTGCACCTGCGAACCGAACAGCTCTGAAACAATCAAACTTTTAGTATTACAGAAGTGATCAGTAGCTATTGTGGAAAATTTTAGTTGCTTAAATTGTGTATCGACTTTTCTAGAATATCAACCACCGGGTAAAGTTATTATTATGTAATAGTGTTATTATACTCTACTCTGCTAAACTGTACCCTCAGTAGTGTACAAAGTGTTGTACTATTTTATACTCTACTCTGCTAAACTGTACCCTCAGTAGTGTACAAAGTATTGTACTATTTTATACTCTACTCTGCTAAACTGTACCCTCAGTAGTGTACAAAGTGTTGTACTATTTTATACTCTACTCTGCTAAACTGTACCCTCAGTAGTGTACAAAGTATTGTACTATTTTATACTCTACTCTGCTAAACTGTACCCTCAGTAGTGTACAAAGTGTTGTACTATTTTATACTCTACTCTGCTAAACTGTACCCTCAGTAGTGTACAAAGTGTTGTACTATTTTATACTCTACTCTGCTAAACTAATACCCTCAGTAGTGTACAAAGTATTGTACTATTTTATACTCTACTCTGCTAAACTGTACCCTCAGTAGTGTACAAAGTGTTGTACTATTTTATACTCTACTCTGCTAAACTGTACCCTCAGTAGTGTACAAAGTGTTGTACTATTTTATACTCTACTCTGCTAAACTGTACCCTCAGTAGTGTACAAAGTGTTGTACTATTTTATACTCTACTCTGCTAAACTAATACCCTCAGTAGTGTACAAAGTATTGTACTATTTTATACTCTACTCTGCTAAACTGTACCCTCAGTAGTGTACAAAGTGTTGTACTATTTTATACTCTACTCTGCTAAACTGTACCCTCAGTAGTGTACAAAGTGTTGTACTATTTTATACTCTACTCTGCTAAACTGTACCCTCAGTAGTGTACAAAGTGTTGTACTATTTTATACTCTACTCTGCTAAACTGTACCCTCAGTAGTGTACAAAGTGTTGTACTATTTTATACTCTACTCTGCTAAACTGTACCCTCAGTAGTGTACAAAGTGTTGTACTATTTTATACTCTACTCTGCTAAACTGTACCCTCAGTAGTGTACAAAGTGTTGTACTATTTTATACTCTACTCTGCTAAACTAGTACCCTCAGTAGTGTACAAAGTATTGTACTATTTTATACTCTACTCTGCTAAACTGTACCCTCAGTAGTGTACAAAGTGTTGTACTATTTTATACTCTACTCTGCTAAACTAATACCCTCAGTAGTGTACAAAGTGTTGTACTATTTTATACTCTACTCTGCTAAACTAATACCCTCAGTAGTGTACAAAGTATTGTACTATTTTATACTCTACTCTGCTAAACTGTACCCTCAGTAGTGTACAAAGTGTTGTACTATTTTATACTCTACTCTGCTAAACTGTACCCTCAGTAGTGTACAAAGTGTTGTACTATTTTATACTCTACTCTGCTAAACTAATACCCTCAGTAGTGTACAAAGTGTTGTACTATTTTATACTCTACTCTGCTAAACTGTACCCTCAGTAGTGTACAAAGTGTTGTACTATTTTATACTCTACTCTGCTAAACTGTACCCTCAGTAGTGTACAAAGTGTTGTACTATTTTATACTCTACTCTGCTAAACTGTACCCTCAGTAGTGTACAAAGTGTTGTACTATTTTATACTCTACTCTGCTAAACTAATACCCTCAGTAGTGTACAAAGTGTTGTACTATTTTATACTCTACTCTGCTAAACTGTACCCTCAGTAGTGTACAAAGTGTTGTACTATTTTATACTCTACTCTGCTAAACTGTACCCTCAGTAGTGTACAAAGTGTTGTACTATTTTATACTCTACTCTGCTAAACTGTACCCTCAGTAGTGTACAAAGTGTTGTACTATTTTATACTCTACTCTGCTAAACTGTACCCTCAGTAGTGTACAAAGTGTTGTACTATTTTATACTCTACTCTGCTAAACTGTACCCTCAGTAGTGTACAAAGTATTGTACTATTTTATACTCTACTCTGCTAAACTGTACCCTCAGTAGTGTACAAAGTATTGTACTCGGGTTCCACCCTGAATTTCACTGCTGGGCGGGGTAGTTCTCTGTTCTGTAGTGGTGCTGTCCGTTTTCTTCCAGCCCTGGTCAAACAGCTGTTTATATTTTGGAACAAAAGTTTTGAAGCTTTTTAGGTGATTCACAACAAGAGACAAAAGGATATGGGGATTATTTCTAGTGTTTATAAGTTTAACTATTTTAAACCCAGTTCTCTTAAAAAACAACATAATAAGACGTATAAAAGTATAAACGGAGATGAAACATACTTTTCGTAGAACCAGAAGAGCAGAACAAGTCCAGCTAGAATGAGAGCGAAGACGCTGACCACAACCCAGACCACAACCATGCTGACACTAAAGTGACCTGAAATAAGGGCCTCTAACCATTACTGACATTAAAGTGAGCTGTAATTAGGTTGAGGTTCTTTGACCACAACCATACTGACACTAAGGGTCTGCCCACACTACGCCTCTATTCCCCGAATGTCTGCCCACACGTGGTTTTAAAAATCCATGCCTCTATTCCCCGAGAGCTTCCACGCCAACTGGCGGGAGCTCTGCCCACACTACGCGCCTCGTTGTGTGAATCCGTTTTTTTTACCCACGCCATGTGGCCCGTCAAAACATGGCGTAGTGTTGGCAGACATTCGGGGAATAGAGGCATAGTGTGGGCAGACCCTAAAGCAGAGGCGGTTATTCTCTGCACTAAAGCAGAGGCGGCTATTCTCTGCACTAAAGTGATTTAACAATGACCTTACAGACACTCGCCTTCGATCATCTCATCCTGGCAGGCTCGCACTAGTAGTAGTAGTCCCTAGTAATAGTCCCATACATTCATCCTAGAATTACAAGACATTATAAGTCAGTGTAGTTTATAAGTTATAGCTTACTTGCAATGGTCGTGTTGTACGTTGTGCTGTTGATGTTTGTATAACATCCCTCGATGTGGTTCGGGCACTGTGTGCACCCGTACTTAGTCTTGTACTTTCCTGCCAACAAAAAAAAACTTACGATCTCGCAAAGGAGAGAGGCAGTACAGAAGAGCTGACTAGAAAGAGATGCTATGAAGTATGAGCTACAGCTGCGTTTATATGTACTAATTAGTTTATACTAATTATAGGTCACTAATTATAGGTCACTGATAATTATAATTGTGGTCAGTGTACTGTGTTGTGTCCTTGTAGAATTAATCATCATATGGGTTATTAAGTTATTACTTATTTCATTCCCTTGTTTCTTCACGGCTTGACAAGATGAACAAATTACTAAATTACAGCTTAACCCATTAGGGACGATAGGGTCGTTTACGACCCACCTTTTCTAGAGGCTATAGAGGACAAACCAAAATACTAAATGCCACGAATTTTTCGCACATATGCTCAAAATTTATTGGGCTACATTATTGACTTTCCAGTCGAGACCCAATTAATCACTAACAACTAAATAATTAGGCTAATTAGTCGCCATAATTGGAAAATATTTCACTTAACTTCTTGCCTTGATTGGGACATTAAAACTTTATGTAGGCTTATTTTGTTGAGGACAAAATAGTTGCGGGCAACGATTCCCTTGAGACATATGAAAAGCCCGTGATAATCAGATGTTCACAAACAGAGCTAGACGCTGTTTACTAACTGCGGTCGCATACGACCCACTCGTCCGGGTCGCAAACGACCCATCACGGTTTTTCGGCTTTAACTTCTGAAACAAAGACGTTAGGATAAAATAAAAACTGTAGCATAAGTTAAAAAAATATGGTCAATACTGTGTGACTCTAACTTTTTTTAAATAAAGAATTTGGGTCATTAACGACCCACTCGGCTCACTTGCTTATTACTACATAATATGTCCATGTTACTTCTTGAATTCAGCCTAAAACATGACATCATAAGTGCAAAATCGCCTCTCAGCAAGTGATAATCATCATAAACTACGAAAAATCGGTAAAATGGGTCATTAGCGACCCACTAGGACCACAAAATTTATTAATTAAATATAATGTTGTCAAACTTTTACAAATATTAGTATAAAAACATTTTATATCTAAGTCATTACTCCTGTACGTTGATTTAACTTTTAAAATCGATAAACTGGGTCAATAACGACCCACTCGGAAGTTAAACCACGTCATAAATTATCAGTATCATGCTGTTCCACCATCAAGAAAGACACACGTCGGTCTTAATTCCACGCAAACCACGGTGGCTGACAACTAGTCCTTCTGATATCCAGGGCCAACTGAAGGGCCGTCATCACTCATCAAAGAGCTGCATATGCCTGGAGTTGCGTCCTGACTATGATGCGTGGAAATCTGTACCGAAAGGACCGTGGCCGTGCCGCAAAAGAAAAGGAAATCGTCCCTCGTTCCTAACTTGCTAGGTTAGCCATGCTGTTGTTGTTGCTTATTAGATTCTGTTACCTTTTTCGTCAATTTCGAATCTTGGTAAACGACCTGCTACAACCCACCGCTTAAGACCCAGGGTCCCACGGTGATTAGATCATGTCACTCAAGAAAAATCCCCTGAACGAAGTATACGAGATATGCTGTAACCTTGGGTAAATACTGAAAGACGAGTGGTCAAATTGCATAATCTAATCCAACATGCCAAACTGTTTGAGGTTCCTAGAAAGTACGAGAATAACTAAACAACTGATGCATTCAGATTGCTACATCTACTCTGTGAAGGACAGGGAAAAAGCCCCCCCCCCCCCCCCCATCTGGCTGGCGGTGCTGCAACCTGCAATCTCTCAGACCTCGTTGTGGGTAACAAACCCCGCAACAACGAAGCAGCTTCTAAAAAACGAAAAGAAGTATTACGTAATCGGCCGAGAGGGAAGGGGGGTTTCCAAATGATTACGCTTGTGTAATTTTGACATAATAGCTATGTGGTGGGGGGGGGGGGGCGTAAAAATTGTCCAATAAGTGATTTCGTAATATATGAACGGCCCCTAAGAAGTAAAGAAAGGAAGCTGCGAAGAGAGTAGATGCAGCCATCTGAAATCTGAATCCAGCAATTGTAGTTCTTCTTGGACGTTCTACTTCTAGGAATCGGGAAAAGATAGGCATGTTGTTTGCTGTCTCGCGACATTACGGTCGTGTTCTAACAGCTAATTAACTCGCCTACCTATCAATCCAATTCTGCCCATTATTATATTCGTCAGTGATTGGGTGACGTGATCTGCAGATCACCGTGAGACTCCAAATCTCAGGAGGGCTAGTGGTCAACCACCTGTGGTTTGCGTGGAATTAAGACCGACGAGTGTCTTTCTTGATGGTGGAATAGCATGATACTGATAATTAATGACGTGGTTTAACTTCCGAGTGGGTCGTTATTGACCCAGTTGATCGATTTTAAAAGTTAAATCAACGTACGGGAGTAATGACCAAGATATAACATGTTTTAACATATAACATACTAATATTTGTAAAAGTTTGACAACATTATATTTAATTAATAAATTTTGTGGTCCTAGTGGGTCGCTAATGACCCATTTTACCGATTTTTCGTAGTTTATGATGATTATCACTTGCTGAGAGGCGATTTTGCACTTATGATGTCATGTTTTAAGCTGAATTCAAGAAGTTACATGGACAAATGTAGTAATAAGCAAGTGAGCCGAGTGGGTCGTTAATGACCCAAATTCTTTATTTTTAAAAAGTTGGAGTCACACAATATTGACCATATTTTTTTAACTTATGCTACAGTTTTTATTTTATCCTAAAGTCTTTGTTTCAGAAGTTAAAGCCGAAAAACCGTGATGGGTCGTTTGCGACCCGGACGAGTGGGTCGTATGCGACCATAGCTGTATCTTTCAAAGTAAACGAGATACAGATTAGCTTTTTTGGTTATCTCATTTTTGCTGTAAAGTGACCTAGTGTGTTAAACGGCATCAAAATCGGCAAACTTTAAAACTCGTCGTCCCTAATGGGTTAATCATTGCCAAAAAAATTACCACGCAACAAATAAATAATATTTCTATTGAGAGTTTGACGCTGGGGCACACTTTGACACTTTTATGAAGAGATCATGCTGCATGCATCATGCCTGTCTTAATTTCAATCCCACCATGCCTATTTGAGTGCTAATACAGTGCGTCGCCACCAAATAAATTTAAAAAATTCTTAATTCATTGAAAGTGGAAGTGAAAGTTACATGAAAAGTGATAGTGAAATTGATGTTGAAGATAAAGGGAATATTAAAATGAGAGCGAAAGTGAGAGTGAAAGTGAAACCTGGAGGACAAGAGATGAAGTTGCAGCAAGTGTTCTTGTAGTATTCTATCTGGTTGGACTGGTTGTTGACGTACATGGAGAAGCAGTGCACGCACTGGTAACAATCTATAACCTTGTGGCACCCCGGATCCTGGTCAACCGAGTTCATCCTTGCAGCTTCTACCTTTATTAGGCTAGATTTAGATTTACTGCTAGAAGGTTGCATCTAGTTTTATTAGGCTAGATTTAGATTTACTGCTAGAAGGTTGCATCTAGTTTTATTAGGCTAGATTTAGATTTACTGCTAGAAGGTTGCATCTAGTTTTATTAGGCTAGATTTAGATTTACTGCTAGAAGGTTGCATCTAGTTTTATTAGGCTAGATTTAGATTTACTGCTAGAAGGTTGCATCTAGTTTTATTAGGCTAGATTTAGATTTACTGCTAGAAGGTTGCATCTAGTTTTATTAGGCTAGATTTAGATTTACTGCTAGAAGGTTGCATCTAGTTTTATTAGGCTAGATTTAGATTTACTGCTAGAAGGTTGCATCTAGTTTTATTAGGCTAGATTTAGATTTACTGCTAGAAGGTTGCATCTAGTTTTATTAGGCTAGATTTAGATTTACTGCTAGAAGGTTGCATCTAGTTTTATTAGGCTAGATTTAGATTTACTGCTAGAAGGTTGCATCTAGTTTTATTAGGCTAGATTTAGATTTACTGCTAGAAGGTTGCATCTAGTTTTATTAGGCTAGATTTAGATTTACTGCTAGAAGGTTGCATCTAGTTTTATTAGGCTAGATTTAGATTTACTGCTAGAAGGTTGCATCTAGTTTTATTAGGCTAGATTTAGATTTACTGCTAGAAGGTTGCATCTAGTTTTATTAGGCTAGATTTAGATTTACTGCTAGAAGGTTGCATCTAGTTTTATTAGGCTAGATTTAGATTTACTGCTAGAAGGTTGCATCTAGTTTTATTAGGCTAGATTTAGATTTACTGCTAGAAGGTTGCATCTAGTTTTATTAGGCTAGATTTAGATTTACTGCTAGAAGGTTGCATCTAGTTTTATTAGGCTAGATTTAGATTTACTGCTAGAAGGTTGCATCTAGTTTTATTAGGCTAGATTTAGATTTACTGCTAGAAGGTTGCATCTAGTTTTATTAGGCTAGATTTAGATTTACTGCTAGAAGGTTGCATCTAGTTTTATTAGGCTAGATTTAGATTTACTGCTAGAAGGTTGCATCTAGTTTTATTAGGCTAGATTTAGATTTACTGCTAGAAGGTTGCATCTAGTTTTATTAGGCTAGATTTAGATTTACTGCTAGAAGGTTGCATCTAGTTTTATTAGGCTAGATTTAGATTTACTGCTAGAAGGTTGCATCTAGTTTTATTAGGCTAGATTTAGATTTACTGCTAGAAGGTTGCATCTAGTTTTATTAGGCTAGATTTAGATTTACTGCTAGAAGGTTGCATCTAGTTTTATTAGGCTAGATTTAGATTTACTGCTAGAAGGTTGCATCTAGTTTTATTAGGCTAGATTTAGATTTACTGCTAGAAGGTTGCATCTAGTTTTATTAGGCTAGATTTAGATTTACTGCTAGAAGGTTGCATCTAGTTTTATTAGGCTAGATTTAGATTTACTGCTAGAAGGTTGCATCTAGTTTTATTAGGCTAGATTTAGATTTACTGCTAGAAGGTTGCATCTAGTTTTATTAGGCTAGATTTAGATTTACTGCTAGAAGGTTGCATCTAGTTTTATTA